TGTGTCTCTGTTTGCTCTGTGAACAAACCTATGCGTCTATGTTTGTGTCGCGAGATCAATGCCAGGGTCAATGTCACGGAGCTAGCGTGTGCTGGGTCGCCGGGTTTCGGCCAAGCCCCGGCCACCCTTCCCACCACACGCGGACCGGTCAATGAGCCCCGTCATCGCGATGACCTGGACAACTTTTCGTTCGGCTAGTTCGGGCCGGGCAGGTGCACACCGAGTTTGTCTTCGCTTGGATTTTTAGAAAAGTATCTTGACCAGTTCTTTGGTTGCAATCGATATTATTTACATCTCGGAATATTTCGATTTGTAATTGTGGAATTTTCGACGAACTCCGCGTGGATGTTTTCGAAGGATCTTTGATTGACAACTTGTGGCATTTGCGCGGCGTTCTTCAAGGGGAAATTCAGGGAAGTAAGGGGAAAAGTAGATCCAAAAGATCCTCGAAATTATATTTTAAGAAACTTTAGATACAACTATGACTGGCAGAGACTGTTTCAAAGAATTTTCAAGTGAAAAATAACGAAACAATCGACCCAATAGCTTCGATGGCGTACATCGGCAAACAGTTACGCAAGGAGCGAAGAGTAATTAAGTTTGGATGAACGAAGCCCCTTAGAGAACTCTGACATCCCTACTTGGCTACCAATAGTCACTTCAGCTTGTTTAGAAAGTTTAACCAGCGAAAGCTTGCGCGCGACGACGCAATTATCATTCCTGGAATCTTATTTCTGAACTTTGGAGACCAGCTCTCGATCATTTCAAGAACAACGACCCTCTGTCCAACCACACACGCACACACACAAAACCGTTTTTACGTTCTATAATTCCTCTAGAAGAAGAAAATTAGAAACTGATTGCTGAAAGGTTTGACAAACAGATAAATAGGATTAAGATTCCACGTGCATGGAGCCATCGACCTGTCGTTTCTTTTATCGTTTTTTCTTTTTTTTTTTTACAAAAGAAATGTGTCACGCTTCCGTTTCGATCTTATCTTCACGTTGTTATGATTCAACTTCAAATCTTATCAGTGTGATAGACATCGAGTGTCGATCATTGCTCGATTATTCATTCATATTCTTTACCAAACGACGGATTTTCAAACATCTCTCACTATTTAGTTCCAAACTTAATTTCCTATCGTTTTACAAGTAGCATTGTATCGTTATAATATTATAAATAGAATATCTATCCTCTTCTAACGTTTATTTCATCGTTATTTCTTCTTCTCCAATTTTTGAAACAGGAATGTAGGAAAGATCGTGTTGAGTGAATGATTGATCGAATTCGCAACGTGTGTCTCCGGTCACGAAACTGCGTGAACGTTCTGATAAATTCGCAAAGCCGTGACATTGACTTATCAGAGAACCGGGCTGCTCTTATCTGAGCTGGTCGATAACACGCGTGAAGAACGAACGTTCTCGTACTCGGTCGTCCCGTAATTCACGACTGTAATTCAATTCCTAATAAAATCACGACGGAAATGCAAACAATGGTGAAATATATCCACCTTTCTCCCTCGTAAAGTGTATACGATGCGTGAGTTAAAAGGGTTTAAATTTCCTCGAAGTATTTCGATTGAGAAAATTGGTTTTCTCTTGCACGCCGCTGAGAAAGACATGTCACCAGAACGGCTGGACAAGAAAAGTTAAATTTTTGAAATTGTAAAATTTTAACTATCCTACTCGGGGGGGGGGGGGATTGGGAAATTTT